CGTTTAATTTATCTGCGGACACTTGGTAAGATCTGTTAGGCATGGCCGTGTGTAGCTTCGGATCATGTGGTACGTTGCGGCAAATCGGAGCGAGAGGCGGTACGTCGTGTGCTTGTTCATTCTCGAAAAGGAAAAGACGCGATAACGTGTCGGGCACTACATGTAGCTTCCCTGGTTTATGCTGAACGCTGAAGTCGAACGATTGAAGTGCAATTGCCCAGCGTGTAAGCATGTTTGACGTATCTTGCATCGTGTAGAGATACCTTAGCGCTGCGTGGTCAGTGACGCACGTAAAGTGTCGACCCCATAGGTATGGCCTCCAATGTTGGATTGCCAAAACTACAGCGTAACACTCCTTCATGGTTGCGGAATAGTGTCGTTGGCTCTTGTTGAATCGCTGGCTAAAATAAGCAATGATGTTCAGATCGTCACCATTCTTCTGGGCTAGGAAGGCTCCTGCTCCAGTTTCAGATGCATCGACATGAATCGCAAACTCTTTAGAGAAATCCGGGAAATGCAAGACAGGTGCTTTCGTGTGTAAACTCTTTATTTCAGCAAATGCCTTGTCATGTTCTGGACCCCAGCGTTTCGCTACCGATTGAACTGCTTCCTTTTTCGTGAGTTCAACCAAGGGCGCGGTAATGGCGGCTAGGTTAGGTATGAATTTCCTGACATAGTTCACCATACCTAGCACTGAACGTAGTTCTTTGATGTTCGTGGGTGTAGGCAAATCTAGAATTGATTTGATCCGATCTTCACCAAGGCGTATCCCATCGGCAGATAGGATGTGTCCCAAATATTTCACCTCTCTGGGTCCGAATTGTACTTTGGAAGGTTTCAAGGTGAGCCCTGCTGTTTGCAAAGCCTTGAAAGTGTTTTCCAACAAGGATAAGTGGCCTTCCCACGTTGATGAACAACAGATTAAGTCATCCATGTACACGAGGAGACCCGATTTCGGTCCAAAGTGAGCAAAAGCTAAAGCCATAGTGCGTTGAAATAAAAATGGTGCATTGGCAATTCCGAAGGGGAGGCGTTTAAAGACCCATTTTCCATTCCGTGTTACAAAGGCAGTTTTGTCTTGCTCTGCTTTATCGGTGATGGGTAGCTGGTGGTATGCGCTCTGAACGTCACAGACGGTGATATACTTAGCACCTGCAACGGTGTCAATGTGGCTAGCCATTTCGGGCATGGGCCACGATTTACGGATTAGGTGTTTGTTGACCGTCGTCCGGTAGTCTACACAGAACCGGGGTGTACCATCGGCTTTGGCTACCAGCGTTACCGCGGAACCCCAGGGGCTCGCTCTTTGTTCAACGATCCCTGCTTCCTCCATGTCATGTACACACTTGTCAATTACCTCTTGTACACGCGGATTCGCGCGGTAAGGAGCTCTGGTAACAAGACGTGTACCTGGTTCCAGGGGAAAGTCGGCTTCTGTGAGAGTGCACCTACCTAGCTCGTCGGAATTTAGTGAGAAGACGGAACGGTAGCGCGTACACAGTTGTAACACTTGCTCACGTTGTTCCTCTGAGAAGGTGGTTTGCGCGAATGCTTTCGTGAGAGCTTTTTCCAAGTCTTTGCGGTGTTTCGCGGCTTCATCAGGGCTCGATTGTACACTACTTACTGTCTGCGGGAGTACCGATTTGACAGGGGAAATGTATCCCACTAATGTCTTTGCTGGCAGACGTGCTAGTCGGTCGGATGGATTGGCGATCTGAACCACTGCTCCCTTCGTGTTGGACCAGTGACACACCGTACGAGCAACGACTATTCGATGGAAAGCCGGTGGCGTGTCTGGTGAGGCTATGTCTTCAGAGGTGATGATGCGCGGTTCTACCAGGGCAGTTACGGTTTCTGCACACGGTGCTACGTTTGAGTGAATTTCCACAGCGATTTCACTACGTGCCGGCACACAACATTTCTTGTTGAGGTAAACCGGGACTGGTTCTGCGTCGCCATCCTGCACTACTATTGAGCAGTTGTCTTCGCTCGATGTGTTGGTCGTTGGGTTTCGAAACCTGCGGTGTGTTGCTTTGATTGTAAGGGTTGAATTCTTGAAAGCTAATTCTTCCGCTTGCCAATCAAGCACGCCGCCGAATGCTCCCATGATGCTGTTGTCTAACAACATGTTATCGGGGCCCAACGATGGTAGTACTAGGGCTTCTACCGGCAGGGTGATGTCTCCGAGGGTGAGTTCGAATCGAGTGTATCCCTTGATTTTGAGGGGGGAGTTGTCCGCGCTACGCAGGTTGATAACTCCATGGGGAACGGGATAAATGTCCGCGTTTTTGAGCGTGTCGTGGCGTCGCATAAATGCTGCTGAAATACACGGAATGTCGCACGCTGTGTCAATCGTGATGTGATCGACGGGGTGATTGTTTATTCTGGCGGATACACGCACGCGTTTCGAAGACGCGTTAAGCACAGAGGGGAACTCAGGGTATCCCGCAAGTGCCGATGTATAGAAAGCAGAAAATTCATTGTTATGGAAGTCGGAAGGCATGAGACGCGATCTATGCTTCGACTTGACAACGCCGGCTACTGTAGCTACGTACAAAGCTTGTGGCACTAAGGCCCGCGAACATTTACTGCGCTTGGCTACGTGTGTTGCTTCGGTGCTACGTGGTGTGGGGGCAGAGGTGTCAGCTGAAACAGTATGCCGGGTCTGAGTGTTTTGCGAACGTTGGCTGCTAAACCGAGTGCAAGTGAACTCAGATGGTACTCCGGGCACTGTGTTACGAGCTACCTCATCTGCTTGTTCTACCACCAGAGGCTGGACACGTTTTGGATGGTGCCCAGGATTCCTCTCGTCTACTTCTACTCTCTTCGTTACTGCTCTCGAGTTTCTAGACTTGTCTCCCAAACAGGCCGAGGAATGGTGCCTATCTGGGCCATCCTATCCCTGCTGCGAGGTTACCGAGACGTACTTGATTCCGTTCTGGAGATCACGTTTCTCGGTCCTACACTCCTGCCGTGAATGCGTGAACCGTTTCGACTTCCCCGCGCAGCCCGGGTAAGTGCATTCAACACCCCCCTTGCTACCGCTACCACCATCTACTGTTCCGCCCGAGGACTTAGTGTCCTGGGTGAACGCCACCTTTGCCTTCTGGTTCCGGTGGGTTTGGGGCTGGGAAGGACCCCGCTTCTGGATGGTTGGTCCCCGACTGTTACTACGGCCGCGGGCTGCACTGGAGACGTGGGTGTCTCCTTGCGTGTTGATAAGTTTCTCGAGCTGGTTGACCCGATTCTCGAGTTCACCCGTGTGAAGTTTTAGCTGCGGTTGTAGTGTGGAATCGAGGAGGGAAGATACCGAGGCGGCTGATTGAGACGTTGCAGAGCGCAGTTTGTTCGCTTCGTGTTTGCGGGCGCGCGTTTTGGAAGTCATAAACGTTTGCGGTGCGTCTTCTCGAATCATCTCTACCCTGATATCCGGCGGCAAACCGTTCTCAAACGATGCAATGAGTGCTTTCTCAAATGCGTGTTCGTGTGCAGACATATTCGGTGGTGCAGTCCGTTCGGCTTCGGCGAGAAGTCTAGAGTATGCGCGTGAGACTCGAATAGAAAACAGGTCGACAGACTCGTTAGGTTTCGCTTGGAGAGTCATGGCTTCGCGTGCGAGAAGTGCGATTCTGTTAGCGGGTGCGAAGAGAGTAGTCATAGCGTTAACCCATTGTTTCCAGGTTTGAGGAGGAGAGATGGTAACTTGTTCACCCCGTGCACGAATTGCGGCTACCTGCTGTTCCGACCGCCATTCCAAGTGAGAACTCAGAATGAGGTCAAGCGATTGCGCAGCGGCGCCTTTCGTGATGAGGCGTAAGTTCTTAATAGCTCTACGGTCGATGATGTCGTCCGAGGTGTTTTCGGGCAGCGAGAGGCGAATGTGCGTGCGGTACTGTGCCATGATCTCGGGTACATCTTCCGATGGGAGACCCTCAAGTTTCAGAGTTGGCGGAAACTCGGAAGCCTTGAGAGCTCTGAAAGTGTCTTGAGTTGCGCGAGTGCGTTGCTCGTGTGTGGGAATGGCTAGATTGTTCTGCTGCTGCTGTTGTGACACGTCTCCACTGTGCTGGGGTAGAGGTGCTACATTCGGCTGCGGTTGTGACCCGGCTAAGCTTTGCTGGAGCGGAGATGCTACCTGCTGCTGCGGCTGGGGTTGTACAACTTGCTGAACGATAGGAGTGTCATCGGAACGAGAAGCAGAAAAATCAGATTCCAATCGGCGTGGCTTCACCTGAGTGAGTGTCGCGTCTTGCACGGGAGCTCCCAGGACTAGGCGCATGATCCAAGGTTCCGGTTCCTCCTTGTTGTCACGCGCCTGCTCCAAGCTTGAGATGATGAAGGGCGCCAAGAAGTTCCCAGCAGGGGCAGGAATGGAGGGAGCAGCAGTGGTGGCTGCTTGTTGGAGATTCGCGAGAACGTCTGCAGCCAGTGCGCGTGTGGGGTCGTCCGGAGGGATCTCTCCTTCCTCGCGACCGCCATCGGTGGGCTTGCTGGGTGAGTTCTCTTCTCCCAGTGCTGCGAAGCGGTTGCTGGGGTCACCCCCACCACTGTTGGAGCTGCCACCTCCATTGCTGGAGCTGCCACCCTTCCCAGTTCCGTTGCGGGCGGCGCCAGCGTAGTCTTTAGAGCTGGGAGAAGCGTCACCGGTGGCAAGCCGCTGGGGCTGTTTACCGTTGGTGGACGGTTTCTTGACAGACTGCTGTGTAGACTGCAGCGGAGGACTGGGTTTGGGGTTGTGCGAGGGGGTCTTAAGAGCGCCGTTACCGGCGTCCGTGCCTGCCTGCGAGTTCGAGCCGGCTTTGTTGTCTCTCTTGTTCTTGTTGCCCATGTTGAAAAATGGGTGAAACAACAGGAACGGACACGCAGAAACCGCTCTTCGTCGAAGCCAATATGAATACCCTCAACTCAGTGTGAGCGGAGGTCCCAAAATGGCGAGGTGGTATATGCCTACCACCGAAGGCTGGCTGATTTTCCTCTGGTGCAATGTGACGAGGAATGTCAAGCGGTGGTTGAGCATACTCAGCCAAGGCCAGGGTAAGGTTGCGAGTGGGCGCCGGCTGAGACCCTTCCTGGGTTCTCGGTACCAACCATAAAGATCCATCCCGACTCAGGTCGGGGTGAATAACCCACAGAGTAAAGATCCAGAGCAGAGCGGTGAATTATCGTCTGTCGGATGTTCTTCACTCCCTTTGTATGTGCGTGTGTAAGTATAAGAAGATACGAATATCCTGGCCTCCACATATCGCTTCGTTTTTATTTTCGCACGCGCGCTTCGCGCGCGGAAAAAACTCCTATTAAGAACCAGAGCACCATTTGTGAGCTCGGTTCAGAACCCCACACGAAAACCTATATAGCGGCGCCAACACGAAGATGTAGCATGGATCAAAGCATTTGTTGGATTTCAGCTTTTACAAGAGGACATCAACGCAGTATTAGACTATATATAATACTAGCAGTATTTTAGCAAGCTTACGAACGAACGCATGTAGGATACCATGAGGANAGGGGTACCAGGGAAGACGGGGCCGAGTTTTGTTTGATTTCGGGTGGATGAGGTTGGGGTTTTGTTCGTTTTTCTCCATCTAGATTCGTGCCTAGAGTTCAGCTGTAGTGTTTCGACAAAAGTTTTGTTGACTTAGAGGCAAACATTCCTAGCTATTGGGCATCGAGTTAATTTGGCTTGGCATGACGGCCTTTACGATCGACTTTTTATGTATGTCTGCATTTATCTGCAATTGTCGGAGGGCAAACAAAATAATAATAATACCATGAGGATTGTCATTAGTTTTATTTTCAAATTGAAGAGGACATATTCTTACGATGTAAGTGACAGTAGAAACAAGTCCTACGTATGTTGTTGTACTTCGTATTGGTTTAATATTCATGTAGAGTATGAGACATTAAGTGAAAGTTTTCTGAGGTACATCTGCGATTGTCGAAAGGCAATATATATATATATAGCGGCCATTTGTAGCCCGCAAGAGGATGATCAGCAAAATAAGAACCCCAGCCTCGGCCGAAACAAGAGGTTTTTAAGTGCGGGGGCCATCTGTAGTGCAACCGAGGAACGTTCTGAGAAGATGGAGCGGGGAATTTTGGGGGTTCCGCGGTTGTGATGAATTGGGGGAATGGCGGTACCATCTTTGCCACATACAGTATTGTTTTTTCTCGATGCTTTCGAAATTTGTCATTATGATATTGCGTACCCCCTTTGCTCGCCAAGGGGGAGGGGAAAAGAGCGGAGACCAGGCAGGGCAACACCACACACGCCCCCGGTCTACTCCTTACGATCAGTATAAACATCAGCCACCCAACAGACAGAGACACATAAAC